CAGAAGAATTTTACAGTTGTTTGTCTCACGAATGAACGTGGTGTGTAGGATGCAAAACCTGCTTAAGTAAGCTTTTCAAACTATTAATAACTCTATACCATTAACCGTATACCCAAAGTTTGATAGTGCTTATTTTTGGATTTAAATATAGCTTTTTGTCGTAGGGCTTTTTATGGCAATCTAAGGTTTACTCGAATTAATGGACTCTCATTAAGAATTTTTCACTCAATTTCTACCATGTATTTCACCCAATGATTATTATGCTTTCAACTTTGCAAAGCTTCCTCATGAGCTTGAAAATCATTCAAGTTGAAGGAATTTATGGCTCCTAAAACGTGGCAATACTCTAAAAATATTTCTAAAATGAATTATATGCAGTTTAGACACAACAATTAATTTTTTTACTCCGCTTTGCGTTTTCGCCATTTATTTTATTCATCAATCTATGTTTGCCTTTGCTACTTTTTCCTTGTTCTGGGTTTTCAGCATTGTGTTCACTTTAGCGCTGGAAACAGGCTTTAATAAAGGCATCGATCTAATTGCACTGCGTAAAATGGTGTTCCATTCGTGATACTAATTAAGGGCTGATCTTGTATTCACGTACTTTTGGCTGTTTAATTGTTGCTTTTATATTACTTGTTTTTTAAACAAATTGAATTCTATTATCTCCTATAGGCGTACCTTCCAGCTCATTAACTTCTTTCGTATCCCTTTTTATTGATGATTCTAGGCCCCAAACCTCGCCTTTAGTCCTCTAGTTCGATCCGATGGCCCAGCACTTGGCATTTTTGTTCATCTCCTTTACGCTCCACTTGACTCTGTGCAGCGTGGGGCAGCCGGTCTATTACATGAGGTGACACAGACACGCGAGGGCCTTGATTCTTTGGTTTGTCTCTCGGCCGGGGCTCAACGCAGACTGGCTGAGTTGGCGCGAACAGCTCGCTCTGAGGCAGTCGCTACCTATGCCTCGGCAGTGCTTATTCGGTTGGCCGACTGGTCGGTCACTTCGACTGCTAATGCAAGCC